AATTAATATTTACGTTAATTTAATTATGTTAAGTTAATCATATGTTTTATCAACTCCTTTGTGAGTCACGTATTCTGCTGTTGTGAACTAATTTTTAGCCTGCATTGATAAATACACGAGTAATGTCGTTAATTTGTCTACAATCTGTTAGTGGGGGGTTGGCGCGTTGAGCGCGCAGGGGGGCGTTAGCCCCACTAATATAGCATTTATTTTTAATTTTAATTCATGTGGTGGAAGATCCCATCTTATATTATTTTAAAATACTATTGGAAAATTAATGTTTATGTTAATTTAATTATGTTAAGTTAATCATATGTTTTATCAACTCCTTTGTGAGTCACGTATTCTGCTGTTGTAAACTAATTTTTAGCCTGCATTGATAAATACACGAGTAAAGTCGTTATTTTGTCTACTTAATCTGTTAGTGGGGGGTTGGTGCGCGGAGCGCACAGGAGGGCGTTCGACTACCTTGATTGGTAGAGGCGTCAACATTATGCATTTCTGATGGTGCTTTACTACTACGTGTTCCATTATTATATCAGATCTAAGCGTACACATCATGTTTAATAAACCTTAACTGTTTATATCATTATATTGAAATGTGATCACTAACAGAGTAATTATATATTTTTTACAGAAAATAGTAGAAGAAAACTCACAAAAAAGATTTAATATTTGACGATGATGAATAACATCATAATACAGTTTTAAAATTAACAGTTACCAAACGATTGAAAAGTACCATCCTAAAGAAAAAATAATATAGTTGAGAAAAATTGTAATGTGGTTAATCCTTATTCTTATAAAAAAATAGTTATAACGCAAAGAAAATTTTTTTTATAGAAATTAGGATTAAATACATTACAATTTTTGTCAACTACATTATTTTTTCTTCGAGATGGTACTTTTTAATCGTTTAATAACCATTAACTTTAAAACTGTATTATGATGTTACATATATATATATACTAGTGGGGCTCTGCCTCCCTGCACGCTCCGCGCGCCAACCTCCTTATTTTATTGTGTTATACGTGTAATTTTTTTAAAATAAGGTTCGTATTGATATTTTTTAATGCCTTAAAAAATGATAAACTTAATTGTTAGTATGAAAATAATATGTCGAAGTATATTTTATAGAATTCGGAAGACTGTGTCGTTTTTCAAAAATACTTGGGAATAAATTTTCTACGCTGGGGAATAATTACTGGTCTGCTTTTAAGAAAATATGAAGAAAAAGCTGCTAATTTCAAATAAAAAAGGTAAAGTTTATATAAACAGAGAGATGTTCCCTTGACTTTTTGTTGGTGAGCTTTACTATTTCTTCTAGTAGCTCCCTTTTTTAAATGAGCTGTCTATCCTGTATGTGTCAATAGATATTTCTAAGCTTTTACAACTATATATGTCCCCTGCACGCTCTGCGCACCAACCCCCGTAATTGCAAATTAGATTTACGAAGTATGGAAAAAAACCCGAATTATATTAATTGTTACTTAAAATTTATATATGTAATAAATGTATATTGATTATAATTAATTACATAAATTTTTAACAATCACTTTTTATTTTCCCTGACTCATGCCTAATTTTTATATATTTAAAAGGACAACGTATCAAAAGATTTTAAATATCGTCAAAAATTACAAAAAAACGATATTGTTAGAATCACAAATTGATTTTGTTTTAACCGTATCGTTAGTTGATTGTTTTTTTTCTTTTAAATTTTTATAACCAAAATTTTGGCCCAAAGGTATTGCTACTATTCTGCTCCCAAAGGGAATGACCACTCACAGAACTTTCAGACTTCCTTTGGACTTAAGCACCATAGAAAGTGCATTCTTTCAATTCAAGCCAGATAAACAAAAATTACGTAATGTAACAGTAATTATTTAAGATGAAGCTTCGATGATACCAAAAAAAGCGTTAGAAATCGTTGATAGGACTTTAAAAGATTTATCTAGCAGTAATAAACCTTTTAAAAATAAAATAATAATTTTAGGTGGAGACTTTCGTCACATTCTCCCAGTAGTAAAAAACGAAAGCAAAATTACTATTGTTCAAGAAACCATAAAATTTTCCAATTTTTGGCGTTTATTTAATATTTGTTATTTAAAAAATAATATACGCTCAATTGATAAAAAATTTTTTTCAGTGCTACTGGATATAGGAGAAGGCAAAATTAAAACTTTCATGATTCCTCAGACACGGAAAACAAATTATTGTATGTTCTAAAATTTTTAATAATGCTGATGATTCTTTTATAAATAAAGCTATATTTAACATTATATGTTAACATCTTATAATGAATACACTAATTTTTTGAACAAAAAAATCTTAAATTATGTGGTAGAAACATTAGTAACGTCCTATAGTATTGATAAAGCAACTCACAAAGGAGTAGATAAATCAGACGATAATATTTATATTAATTTCCCTACAAAATATTAAAATAGTATTAAAGAATGTCTTTCTCCACATGAATTGAATTTGAAAATTAACGCTATTGTTATGTTAATACGAAACTCAAATGTATCTAAAGGACTTCGCAACGGTACAAGATTATGAATTACAAAATTATTTAAATACAACATTGAAGCTGAAATAATCACAGGTGAAAAAAGAAGGAAATAAAGTCTTTATTACAAGAATAACACTACAAACAAACAATTCTTCTTCGCTACCGTTTATATTGTACAGAAAACAATTTCCATTTATCTTAGCTTTTTGTATGACTATGAATAAATCTCAAGGTTAAAGTTTTGATGCCTTAGGATTATACCTTAGAAAACCAATTTTTTTCATGGGCAATTATGTGTTGCATTGTCTAGATGTAGAAACCCAAAAAAAATTTTTATCTAAATTGAATCAGAAAACAAATTTGAAATTAAAAATATTGTTCGGAATGAAATTTTAGAGTAACAAAAAAACTATTTTATAGTTCATTACTATTTTTATACTTTCTTGCAAATTTTCTCTTTTATCAAAAAAGCAAATTTCAGTACCGTCTAGTACCCAGATTTATGTAATCATAAACAATCCGTTTTTTGTTATATGTTTTCAGATACACCATCATGTATGCAAAATTTTATCAGTGTGACAAATGTAACTCAAAATTTTTAAATCAGGAGTGTCTATCATCTCACGAAAAAATTCACAAAGAAAAATTTTTTGTATGTGATCTGTGTAGCTATATAATATTAGACAAGAAAAACTATTTGCGTCACACAAAGGAATGCCAAAACGTTGAAAAAAATTTCAAGTGTATTAAATGTGAAAAAGTTTCAAAAGAAATTATCACTTACAAAGACATTTGAAAAGTCATGAAAAAAACGTTCAAAAAAATATTTGTCAAAATTGTGGAAAAGGTGATGTTAGAGCAGAGCACCTAAAAAGACATTTTAAAGTATGTAATCAAAATAAACATCATAAGTAAGATAATTGTAACAAAATTTTTTGTTATGGTCAAATAAAATTATATGTGAAAATGATACCACTTGTAACAGTTAATATATAAGGCTTTACGAATATATTTACATTATATATGGGGAAGTTGGGGGGGGGAGTACGGAGGGGAGCT